ATACTTGAGTCAGAGGTGATCACTATGTGATTAGATTACATTTATTCAGTTTAATATTGATCTTCTGTAACTCCTCTCTCTCCGATCTATAAATGAAAGTATTCCTGTGACAATAAACTGCAGTGGAAGAAACTGTGGGATGGTGAAAAGACAGAAGGAAAGGTAAAATAATTTCCTGGCTATAAAGTTACAAAAATAATCACAGTTGAGGTTGGAAGGGATCTCCAGAGATCATCTGGTCCGAACCCCTTCCAGTTGCCCAGCACCATGTCCACATGGCTTTTGAGTATCTTCAAGGATGGAGACCCCACAACCTCTCTGGGCAACCTGTGCCAGTGCCTGGTTAACCTCACGGTGAAAAAGTGTTTCTTGATGTTCAGATAGAGCCTTCTGTGTTTCAGTTTGTGAAAGAAAAAACTAAAGGATGAGAGCTGATTGTTGTATCTATGTGCATTTCCACAAACTAAGACTACCCTTTCTCTGCCTCTTCCAATGAAGCAGCACCTGAAGAAACTGTTACAGTCAGTAACAATTTTGGGACATAACACTGGGAGCTGGGAGTCCGCACGGCAAAAGTGACAGCACTTGCTGCAACTAAGCTTATAGCCCACATACGAATTAAGGCACCACCATGTCACCCAGCTGTCAAAATGCAGACTATTAAACAGTTTCTGCTTGCCACAGGACTGCTCATACAACTCAGATATGCTGTTGTTATCAGATGAGTCTCCGATACTGTTAATGATGTTCCCACAGCTCCTACAAGATACTACAAAACACATCAAGGATTACAAGCAAGTCAACATTCAGTATTGAAACTTTTATTAAAAGCAGAAATGCATCATTTTACTACAGCTGAAAAATGTTCATGGGAGCGCTACAAGAGACCAAGTGATCGTGAAAGAGCATAGTTTCCAGAAATTAAAAAGGTAAGAACCATCAGGCAGGGTAAAAAACACCAATGCACAAGAAGGCAGTACTGCCTCACCGCCCAGCTGAACTCAGAATAAGGCAACAATAATTCATCAATAGCCTAATACTGTTTTTCCATAAAGTTCAGGACTTTATATGCTCATACCAGAAAATCTATATACATACATAATTGAGCAAGTAATTACTTTTGTGTTGGTTATATGAAGCCAAGTTTCAGATCTTTTGTTCTACAGTTAATTAAGATGACGTTTCAGTACAATACCTCTAATATCTTAAATATAGGCTCATCTGCACCAAGCTATCTTCAGTAACATTAGCACAGTATTCCAAAGAAATAAAACCTGGTTAATTATCAAAGATTATTTCCAGAGCACAGTAAGCACAATGGGCACATGTTTGAATTCTTAGCTGTCTGTTACACAAAGCAAGAAAATAGCCTTATTTGAATGGCATCTGCCCAGTTTTTGCAACTTCCACTTCCTTTCCAAAATAAAACAGAAAATAAACTTCCAAAATAAAACACAAAATAAACTTGCTTAGCAGTTCCAGTTTCCACTCGCAAGAATTCACTTAGCTCAATGCCCTGTTTCTACCAGGACCAGCTTTTCCTTCTCTGGCTTCAATTACAAGACAAATCCCCCACCGCACAATGCCACCAACCCACTTCAGCTACTGCGACTCCGCTCCTCATCCTGATGCTGACAGGCATACATGGCCTTGTACTGGTAACTTAGGCATCCCACAAAGCATTTTATACTGGTGACCCCAAATTCAGAGAAAAGACCACCACAACTTCCAGAAGTCCAAAAAACAAGACTCCAGAAGCCACTGCTCTGGATGGGCTCGCAGGGCACTTGACTCTACATGGATCCAGAGAAGCTTCTTGAACTCAGCTGCCCAGGCAGCAGATAAATATAAATATCCCAGGGTTTTCTGGAGTCAGCTCATGACTTCCAATACTTTATTTGTATTTCACTGGACTCTATGGTCTATTTATAAATTGTTTATCATACAGTTGCTAGAAGTCAGCAAGTCTACTTCTGTTTCTAGTAAAACAGTACAAGTTAATTCCATGAAAACACATGTGAAAAGCTTGTCCTGTTCATCTCTTTTAATAGCATTTTTAGATTACAGGTACAAGAGTTAGATATTTGCTTAAAACTTTACTGGCTCAGTATCAGATCTCTGGAAGCTAAAGTAAGCACATTCCTCAACTCTATCATGTCCAATGGCACCCTGAGACTAACCAGCTATGGGCTGTGCAGCTTGCCTTTGTATTTCCTGTGCTCTTAATTATTTTCCCATCACAAGGCAAACTAAAGTGGTCACCATTTAACATGCACACTGCCTCATCATCACTCCCAGCAGTGTGAAGACATACCTAAATCTTAAGGATATCCCAAACTAGAAAATACAAAAATGCATAACACCTCTTATACTTCTAAAAGGTCTCTTTTCAGATTCCGAATTCAAATTTCAGCACCTATGTACAGAGTTCTAGCATGTACATACATGCAGGGAGCCTGGGCCATGCTCAGATCCGTTCAGTCGAAACCTTCGGAGTACTTGACAGCAAAACTCCTTTCCTATTCTTTGACTTGCAGAATAAACAGGTTGGTATTATTTCCTTTACTTCTGCCCCTTCAAATAACAGACTTGTACTACTTTGGAAATTTGTATAATTTACTCAGCATGCTCATTTGCCACTCTTTCAGTGAGGAAACAACTGTAATTGGAATAGACACTCTCAGGCATCAAAAAGCACCAAAAACCAAATCAGCAGTTAGGCAGTGTGTCACTGCAGACACACGTCTAACAGGGAAACAGAACACGCCAAGAAGCCATTGGAAAATAAGTTGTAGCAATGCAGTTACACAGTTTGGCATTCAGACTCTATGTTAAATAGTACCACCAGGCCCTTTTCCATTTCCAATTCCTGTATCATCTTAATCAAACACTGCTCTTAAAAGGTTAGCCAAAACTCTTCATCTCCCATTCTAGGGCCCAAGCACTACTACATACCTCAAAAGCTTGCTTCAGAAGAGCAAGAAAGGTCCAAGGGACTATCAGATGACACACGTTTCAGTGCAAGAATAAAGCACAAAATCAGAAGCACTGAGCTCTTTTCTAGTCTCACCTGAGGGCCACATGATTTCCTGTATCAAAGCAGAAGTGCCACCAAAAGGTCGCTATTCAAGTATTACTTGTAGGACAGGAAGTACAACATGCTGCAAACATGTGGCAAGGTCAAGTGAGGGCTACCAGGAAGCCAAGTACCACTCACCTTGCCTTCGCAACTGGTAAGCTTGACCACTGGAGAACTAAAGCAGGCAGAAAACTGGCTCCAGCTGAAAAGTGTTAAGAGAAAGCTAAGGAACTCCTCATTCCCACCACAGCTAGACTCAGGTTTGCTATCTGCCATCACATTCAGCCCAACTCAAGTGACTACAGGATCCTGCCCCCCTATTTTAGGCTGAATTTATACTGAAATAAGGTAACACACAAACATGTTAGCCTTGCCCTGAAAGCGTAAACATATGCTCCAGTGTGTGGGTTCCCAGAACTGTAAGAATCTACACAGAGTTTTAACCATCAAATCTCAGCATCTAAGAAGCCTTTATAATACTGCCTCCCTATCCCACCCCCTCAAAAAAAGGCTATTTAGTACAAAAATTGGAAACTACAATTTGCATTACACATCCTGCTAGGCAGGAACCACCCCTAAACTAAATACAGTGGCACTTTAGCCCTGACAGTACAAGGTGTTTCCCTATAACTGCACTGATTAAACTGTTGCAGACACCAGACTTCCAAGTCCTTTTTAGCAGACATCATACTGCACAACGTAAAGCAGCAGGCAATTGGCCAAAAATGGTTAGCGAAAAGGATTCCTTAAACCTCCAGCATCCAAATATAGCCCTAGCTGGTCACATGGGCTGCCATACAGTAAGTGCTCCTCACTTTACCTACCCTTTGATTAAACAGTTTGAGCTAAAAAGCATGTACTTAGAATAGCATTTCAGTTTCCAGCCCAATTCCATGAACTGTATAATCTTGCTGTACCTTCCACATTCAGACTGGCAGAAAGGAAAAGTTGATTTAAGTTTCTAGAGAGCCCAAAGGGGATCATTAGCTACAAAAAGCTAACGGAACACAATACCTACATGATGCGTAACATATATGTGTATACATATAAATATAAAAGCAGCGTATCTGCTATAAAATGAAGCTGCCATGAAAGGCTCACTTGCTAACAAACTTCACTGCACATACTGATTCTTGAGTGCACCTCCACGCCTTACTCCACCTGACCTCTAGCAATTCCTGGTTTTCACATTACTCTCCTGATGAAAGCCAATCAGCTGATTATGTCCACTCCATAAGAACTCCATAGTTTAGCTTACACATTAAGAAACGCCACAAAAATCCCAGAGAGCACCATGCTGGCTATTGTACTGTTGCCAGATTCCAAGTTACACACACACACAAAAAAGTTGGGTTTAGCCCTTCCTTTCTCAGTCCTTAAAGCCACTCATTACATCACAGAATGATCTGTGTTGGAAGGGACCTTAAACACCATACACCTCCAACCTCCCTGCCATGGACAGGGACACCTTCCACTAGATGACGTTGCTCAAAGCCCAGTCCAGCTTGTCCATGTTGAGTAGGGTGCAGGTAACAATTAAGGTTATACAATAAAGCCCTGCAACTGCACTTATACATACAGGTGTCACTTCTCCTTCCAAAGCCTCCCCTTGCATCAGTAAGGACAGGGCCCTGTGGTAATCACAAACCTTGTGATTTGTGAAGATGAAGAGGTGTGAGTTTAAGTCATACCTATTACTCAATAGAGGCTAGGGGTCTGGGGGTCCTGAGAACAGCTCAATGCCACAAGGCCCAAACATTGCATTAGTGCACTTACTGGACTGTGTTACAGTGCTCTACAGCACAGCTTTCTGCTTAAGAGCACGAAGTCTTTTATCCAGCTCCAGCCCCTAGTTAAGCTACTACTGTTACACACTTAAGCCAAAGCACAGCCAGGAGCAGCGCTGAGCACATTCACATACCCACCGCTGATTCAGTTGCACCGAGCACCAGTTAGTTTCACATTTATGCCGACAGCCAGGCCGGCCTGGCTGCACCGACATAACCCCGGGTACCCAGATGTTGCGCTATTTATACCCTGGAAAAGAAAAGAAGAAAACCCAGAAACAACCCCAACAGAACTTCATAGCGGGAGGCCACGACAGCAAAGCCTTTATTCCGAGGGTGCAGAGCCCGGGCCCGCCGTCCCGTGACGTGTCCACCTGAGGCTCCCGGGGCCGCAGCCACCGGAGACAAAGTTCTGTAGTGCACTGACTGCTATCGTACACAGAGTCGGAGTGTCACAGAACTTTGCTTCCGGAGGCTCCAATCCTCCTCCGGTACCGGCACCGCTATGGCCGTCTGCCAGCACAAGTTTCCCTTGCCTGGGAAGGGAAGGCGCACACGATTAAGAGGTGGGGGAAGGAGTCCCCCTGGTCCTCCTCCGCGGCTCGGCGGAACACCCGCTGCCCGCGGAAGCGGTGGAAGGAGATGGAGGGATTTCTGCTTCCAAAAGCCGCCGGACCGAAGCTAACGGGCCGCCCCAAGCGAGTCGCGGCCGAGCGGCTGGCCGGAATGCTGCCCATAGGCACCAGCGGGCGCCGCCGCCTCCCGCTGTCAGCCCCACCGCCGCGGCCCTGAGGCGGCCCCGGCCGCGTCCGGCATCCCCCCGCCGCCCCTCACGGAAGGGACGCGAGCGGCGGCGCTCGCCGCCCCTCCAGCCCTCCCCTTTAGAACCCGCCGCCACCGAGCGCAACAGGTCCGGCGCGGCGCGGTGCGGTGCAGTGCAGTCCGGTCGGGTCGGGTCCAGCCCGGCGCCCCCCGCGGGGGCCTGGTCCGGCGGCGGAGGCAGCGGTGGCCGTGGCGGCGGCCGGTCACGCGCCCCACCGCGCCGCTCCATCTTGACTTTTGCCGACGTGGAAATTTTGGGTTCGGGGACGAGCCGCGCTCTTATTGGCCGGCGGCGGGCGGGGTCGGAGGTCACGGCTGCTGCCGCCGCTCCGCGCCAAGCCGCCTCTCTCGCAAGGCGGCCCCGCCCCGCCGCCCGGCACGCCCGCACAAGGGGCGGGGCCAGCGCCGCGCCGGGGGGACCCGGTGGTTGCTGCGCGGCGGCGGCGGCGGCGGCGGCGGCGGCGGCGGCGGTGGTGGTGGTGGTGGTCGGCGGCGCTGAGGGGGGCAGCGGTCGGGATGCGGTGCGCTGGTGGCTGCAGCCTGCCGCGCTGGGGTGAGCCTCGTTACCGCCTCCGCTGGGGAGGGCGGAGGCTCGCAGGCCGGTTCCTGCCCTCGCCCGGAGGTGCGGAGCCCCCGGTACCCGGCGCCACCTGTGCGCTCCCGGCGCGGCCCCTGCGGAGGAGTAACTGGGTATAACGAGAGGTGGAGGTGGTGCCTCGGAGCTGCGGGGAGCGGCCGCTTGCCGCGGTGCTCCGCTCCCCATAGTGCTGCAGGGTGCCCGGCTTCCACCTGGGCTGGGATGGGTGTGAGCAGGAGGAGGTCTCGGTGTTTGTGGGGCACGCTTCGGATTTGGAGGGCTTTGAAGAGAACGCAATAGCTCTTGCCGAAAAGGGTGTGCTGCTTCTCCCTGAAAGGAAAGCTGAGGGGGATCTGTTGACCCCAAAGGGTTTTCTGCTCTCTGCTCAAGGTGTGAAGACTTTGCTAGTTCTGTGTGGATCTCAAAGTACGTTACAGTGCAAAACCGGCTAAATAAGGGTTTAAGAATAATTCTTGCAGTTGTTTTTAATCTCTTACATCAAATTAAAGTCGTTAAACCTATTGCTTAGCTGTTCACTGGGCTCATGATAAACTGCAAACCAAGTCTGTGGCTGGAAGAGCTGGTCCAGGTTTCTGTTTGCAGTCATGAAGGCCTTAGCCATAAAAATGCTCTTGGACATGGTGCACCTGAGTACTCCCAGAGGAACCATTCATTCACCTGGCTGAGCTGTCTGTGTGTTCACAGCAGGAGGCACATGCCTTGTCCTGTGATGGCATCACCGCCCAGAGGAACACCAGTACTCACATGGTCCTTGTCATACAATCATAAAGTGGTTTTGGTTGGAAGGGACCTTAAAGGTCATCTGGTTCCTGCAGGATCACAGCAATACCTGTTCATCCAAACCTATGGCTGCCATTTCAATATCTGAAAGGGAAATAAACTGGAAAAAAATGCTGTGAATTTTATTTTTTTTTTAGTTTATGTAATTTTTAATTTTTATTTACACCTACTGTGAAACATAGTGTTTGAGGAAGAAACATAGTGTTTTCAGAAGAATCTCTTACCTTTAAATTTTTTCTCCTATTCTTCAGCTGTTCTGACTGCAGAACCAGTGGCAGGTCTTTCCTGAGCCTTTCTGTTCTGTTTATGAAGCATGTTCATCCCTCCCTGTCTGCACCTTCACTGTGCTGCTCAGTCTTCAGCCCTATCCCCTTTTGCTGCAGTTTCCATGTGTAGCAGTTATTTCCATCTTCCAGTTCCCCCTGTATCCTGGCTCCCTCCCTCAGCACACACCCCCTGTGCTAGGCCACGGAGCTGGCCTTAGCTATGCTGCTGCTGCTCGGCTCTGTGTAGGGGAATATTGATTTTACAGTGTGTGTGCTCTGAACAAAAATCGATGTTGCAGTAGATTGAGCTGAGCGTGCAGCAGTGTAATGGAGCCCAGCCTGCTAATGCAACATGCAGGGGTCCTCGTTCAGAGATTGAGGTCAGCCAGAAAATGGAAATGTGTTTTCTGATTTTACTGTCTGTTTCAGATTTAATGTGGGTGTTTATGTTCTTGTGTTTAACAGGGCACACAGTCACTTTAGAGTTATAGCCATCAGAATGTCACATACTGCAGGCAACATACACAAAAAAAGCATGCCTCGCACGTACAATCAAAATTATTTTGAGCTTAATAACCCCTCTTTTCCCATTATTCATTGTATGTCTATCAGAAAACAGTTGTGAGGAAACATTTTTGTTTCTGCATATAGAAAATCATTTTCTGTTGTTCATTGCAAACTTGGGTTCTGATTATGCAATGACACATGCAGTGCTTTAATGAACTCCAATACAGCGGCATGTATTGAGGAGCATCAAATGAGCATAAGTGAAAAGAATGAGAGAAATAACAAATGTATGACACAAAACCAGAGTAAAAACTCCCATTGATTTTAATGGAGCTGGGATTTCAGCCAGAATGTTCGCCATGATACATTATCTGCTTTTTAAACTGTTGCATCATGCCTTAAAATTTAGCAAAAGTGCTTCTTGAAATGACATGTGAAACCACTGCATTCTCAGGCTCAGAGTCAAGATTAGTGTAAGTTAGTCTATTATTCACAGCTCTGGAGAGGCTTGGTATGGCTTTATCTTCACGATTTTAGCTTCTGCTTTTGTCAGAGGCTATTTCTCATCTACTAAAAACTCTGCAGCAGTGAGTTTTTGGGCAGAAGAATGAGCATTATGTTTGTGAATGTTACTATACTTTGAGCTGGATAACACACATTTAGACATGCTACAGGGGCTCTCATGTTCAGACAAAAAGGAAAAGGTATTTATTCATCCATCATTTGCATTATTCGTTGGAGACTTGGATTTGGCAGTGGTGGCTGGAGAGGCACACAGGACTGGAGTGGTAATGTCTTCTCTCAGTTACAGCTCAGGTTTGGGACATGACTCATGCAGAAGGCTTCCAAATGTAAAATACTGCTACCTACAGATGTGCATTATACTGGGGTTTCTCAAAAGTCACTTGATTTTCTTCAGTCACTGACCACTGATTTCCAATATGCTACTATGTTTGAGTGTTTTGAAGATGTTTTTGTTTTAGTATTATATCAGCTGCTGGGAACCTATGCACTGCCCACTCTTAAAAGCATACCTCAAGATGTGCAGTATGTCCTAATGTATTTTAGGTATGGCTTTTGAAAATAGTACTGTAGTAACATAAAATGTAAACTATATTAAAATATAAATATATATACCTATATAAAATATAACTATATTTATTATAACGATAATAAAATTATGATATTATTTTATATAATTCTCAAATGTTTTTCCCAGTGTAAGTATGATAAACTGTAGTAAAAGTGTTGTTCCAGTTTTAATTATAAGGTAAAACTTGTAGCTGAAGATTAAGGAATAATAATTAGGTTTGCATTTTACTTTAAGAATCCATCTGCTTTGGGAGCACGCTTCCAATTAAGAAGGTGGTTACAATGCAAGATAGGCAAAAGCACATGGTACAGAGGACCAAGCTGTGACTTTTTGTGAAGTAAGAATGAGCAATATTACACAGAATGTTATCTTTAACTTAAAAGGTGGAACAGTTTTATGACAGAGTGATAGAACTTACTTGTATGAACAGAAGACTCTGTTTTCCAAGAGTCCTCCTCTGTCACCTTAATGATATAGTAAATTGGGGTGGTTTTTTGTAGTTTTGTTTCTGTTTTCTGTGTGTGTTGGTTTTTGTTTGCTTGATTTTTGGTTTGTTTTGTTTCCATTGTGAAACAATCAGGATATTATAAGAATTACAATTTAAATCTAATTTGAAACTGGAGTTATGCAGGATGGAAAATTAATTATCTCATTAGCTGGAGAACTTTTATGGTATTCACACAATAAGTAAAGGCAGTCATAAGCATCAATCAATATTATAGAACATTTTAAAACAAATATAAACAATTTATGTTATGACAGTTTGTAGCACTGCTTATTGATAAAAGAAAAATTATATGTATGAACTCAGTGGCATATCATTCTAATTCTTAGTTGGTTATTATTTGTGATTGCTCTTGATTAAATATGATTTGTGTTGGTGTAATTCTGTACTTCATTATTATAATAAATGTGCATTAAAACTGCATTATAATGCTCTAATTATGAAATTGCCATTAAGTTAAGGTTATGAGCATCATAATGCAGTGTTTTATCAAATTGTTATCTTTTCTAATGCTTAAATTTCCTTGTGTCTTAGAATCATAAAATTAATTGCTAAAGTTAATAAATAATGATAGTCTAAGGAAGCCAGTGGTAAGTCAGAAAAGAATCCAGGTTTCCTGAATTCCTACTGACTCTCTAAAAAATAGATAAAGTTGGTAACTCTTTCTGTAATTGCAGAGATAAGTTTTTGATACAATTTTGGTAGAATCTGAAAATGACAAAATAAGACCAAGTGTCAAATGAAAACTTCAAGATGCAAGGACATAATATAACAAACTTTTATTCAGGTCCAGTGGAAATCTTTTTACTGACTTGAATAAAATTTTAATCAATTCATAAAATGTTCTGGAATTGTGTATGAATAGCTCCGTTAGTTAAGTAATAATCCTCATAACATCTTCTAGTTTAGAAATTTGCCAAATCAAACCCTAGGTGTCTCCTAAAAAACCCCACAGACATTCAGGAGGACTCCGTAAGTTATAGATCCCAAATGGAGTGACTCTGTCATCTGCATTTGTAAGAAGATATGAACGGATCTGCCAGGCGATCAGTGCTGGGTTAGTGTAAGAGTATCTGCAAAACATTAGTATTTTGGAAAACAATAGAAATTTTAAAATGTCCTTTTATTGTGCATTAAAATGGAATTAGGACCTTCCTGAAAAAATGCTGAAAAAGACAAATGAGGCTAATCCCTTTTTCCCTGTCCGAAGCTGTTACGCTTTGCATAGCTGGCCCAAAAAAGAGGCTAACATGCTGAATCAATGGGATTTGAACCTGTCTTGCCTGTATCTTCCAGGGAGTTCCTGAGCACTTAACAGCCATCTATTTTGAGGAAAAGAAGGGAACGTTTCTATTTAATTCTCCCCCCCCCCCCCCCCCCCCAAAAAAAAAATTCAGTTCTGAATCTGAGAAGCCTTCTTACTGAAACAAATACTTTCCCACAAAAAGGTTCTGTTTTAACAAGTCAGCGTTTTTGGATACAAACAAATACATTGTGGGAAATTCCCACCAAGCGTTGCTTTGTTGTTCTTCAGAAAAATTCATGTAAGAGAGAATTACTGGAATGGCATTTACAAAGGGATACGGATGCTATCCTCTGTGGAGTCCAAGCAGAGTGACATGGTGTTATCTAGGTCAAAGACTTGAAGGAATTTAACCTTTCATCTTTAGGGCAGTAGAAATCCCTGATCCTAGAAAATCAGCCAGAGATAAATAAACAACCAAATTCTGTACCATCCACTACAAGCCATGATTTAATCAGTTTGTAGTAAATTTAATGGGAATTGTGCTGAAGCTCGCCAACAGACTCTGGAGGACAGGAGCCGAGATGTAGCAACCAAGAGGTTATTGACGTAACAGACCCAACTTTCTTGACCAATATGTCCTAGAAATGGAAACCGAGGGTGACATTGCTCAAATTGGTGAGCAGCTACTTACATAAGTAGTCTCACTGAATTCAAACCTGTCCTAAAAAGGCACTTAGCAATCTTCTAGCTGCAGCAATGCGAGAAGAAGACAAATAACCAGAGTAAGAACTATGTGCACTCATTGCACCTCCTGGGAATTTCTGAAGAATTTCTGAAGAAGATTCCACTGTTTCCTTATTCTAAAGAAGAAGAAGTATCCTTGTCCTGTCCAAATATTGAAGAGATGAAATGAAGTTTGGCACCTTAGGTTCAGAGCATTAACAATTACTTAGACTTTCACCTCTGCTCAGGTCTGATTTATGGCTTTCATCTTGCAGGACACAATTCAAATCACCATTTGCTAGCTCCACAGGAAGAATCTTCAGGCCAAATCCTTATGGCAACCCACTGCTCCTCTGGCTTTCTGCACCACCGGGAAACATCAGTGAATGCCAAAGTTTTGCAACTGCAAAGGAAACAAAGGGAAATGGATATTCATATCTACCATTACTTTTGTAATTGGTTGTACAGGGAAAAAACAATCTTACCAGGAAATCCTCACAAGTCTGAATCACATCTATAAGCCTTGTTTGCTTGCCAGTTCTTCTGATGAACCACAGGAAATATACTCCAACTCCAGCACAGACTGTTCAGAGGAGAAAAGACAGGCTCATTAGCACAGTCACCTACAGGCAGTAGGCACACACAGAATGTTCAGCCTTTGGATGGGATAGCGCAGATGCAACCAAATGGGATTGCCTGACACGACTGGATTACGTATTCTTATTTATGTTGATCCTATAACCCTGGCTGTGGTTCCTTATCAATGCACGCGTGACCTTGCTAGAGCAGGCTGTTAAATTCCAAGCTCATATGCCTGAGAAACCTGGATAACACAGGTTCCCCTGCATGCAGCTTTCCAAAGAACTGTACTTCTGGCTGGAGGATAAGTAGCTCTTCAGTAAAAACACTAATTGCTGCAGTGATCAGTTAATAGTCATTGAAAGAGGGGTGCAATTGCTGCACCAGACTTACTAGGCATAGTAAACCACAATTAAAGCATGCCTTTTTGGAAAAATGTATGATTTTGTCAAAGCTAGCTGTACAACACACAGTGAAATGTATTAAAATCAATAATCCGATTCAATAAACTGAACAGTATATTTTAAACTAAATACATCAGAAAGTAAATAAGGTATATTCCACTGGACTGAAGGTTTCTGTTTCTGGCAGCTAAATTCCCTGTCATTAAATGGAGAACTTCACTAGATTTATCAGTTTCTTGTCTATAAAATGTTTGGTAAATTTATATATGCCTCACTCATCTGCTGTCAAGTAAAGGTATTAGAAGTTGTCTGATTAAACGAATTTTTGTCCTTGTCATTGAAATCCACAGGAAGATTTCTGTGAACTTCATCAAGCAAAGGAGGAAACCTTTGTAAAAGTTTCCTTTTGAAACCGATTACCTGTACTGTAAGCTAAGTGTTGCTCTCTAGATCCCACCATGGCACTCTCCTAATTTTGCAAGTTGAGGAGTAGCCTGTCAAAATTCTAAAACACCAGGGAGTCCTAATCACAAGCAGCTTGTTCCAGCCAGAATCGTATTTCCTATGTTGCAGGACAGCAGTGCTTCATTTGCACCTCACAGAAATGGTCTTTTCCTCCCTGATTTCTCAGCTGAATGCAACAGGACACTTCCTCTGGCCCTTAGCAACAGCCCTTAGCAAGGGCTGACGGAGAAGAGCAAGGAGCAAAGCCAGGACTAGCAAAGAACTATTGATTCGTGAATGAAAGAGAACATTTTCTGAAATAAAAATTCAGCTGGTCACAATAACTCTAGGATGAGTCTGAGTTTAGTGGCTAGAAGTAAAAAAGGCAACTTAAACTGACATTGATCTCGCTGTCATTCCAAGGGTAATATTTTCATTATGATAAAATGTTCTTTAACAATCTCTCCAGTGAATTGGGCACAAATATGCTTTTATTCTGCATTGGTCCTGCCTATCTTCCTGTTCCACCTATTTTTATACTATTAAAAAATATTTGTTTAGGCAATGCAAACAAAATCCCCTCCTCTCCCATATGTTTAAGTTCCCTTACCACCATTTATGCTATAATGTAGTACAAGACCAGCGAGACAGCTGAGACTTTTGTTTCAAATCAGGTTTTTTGTCTCCTTTTCGGTCTTCACTCAGAAAAGCAATCATAAAACTTGCCCAAAATGTTAGTAGGCATGTAGGATGTGGATACAAGTTCTGCAGCACCCCTTCCCAACACACAGGCAGAGGAGCATACATACATACATACATACAGAAACGCAAACACACTTATGTAGGTGGACAGACAAGTGTGTTATGTCCACAGAAATATTTTTGTGTTTGCTAATATAGAATAATTAACATAAAGTTGCCTATATATATATGTATATATATGTATCTATATATGTAACTTCTTCAGACGTTTTTAAACCTTGGTCCCTAAAAGTCAATAGATAAAAAGGTGCAATTACAAATAACCCTATGGATTCCCATCTTGCATAAATTTTCTTCATCAGGCAATAATTTGTCTCAGTAACATTTTTCATAGCAGGGAAATACTTTGTGTGCCTTTCAACACTGCTCCAACAATGTATAGCAGTATTGCATGACAAGATGTACTAGTAGCAGATAGACAGCTATTACTTGTTATTTTAAAGCATCAACAGTACATTCATGGGCTGCACAAAAGACAGAGTCTCTGACTGAAGTCCTGTAGAGTGCCTGTGAAGATTTATGTGATTTTTTTCTGCAGCTTATGATGTGGCAGAATGACCAGTTTATGGTGTGGGTGGAACTTTGTTCAACACATGAAAATGCCTCCACTCTCCAGATTATGTTCTTCCGTGGTAGGCAGTAATGGTTTCTTGCCTTCCATATGGCCACCATGTGCCAGCAGACACCAAATTGGTATGTGGGTTAAATGTAAAATAACCACAAGAGCTCCCAAGCCAATAATTACAAAGCTCCTTTTGATATGGTTAGTGTATCATTATCTGTACTGTGCAATAATAAAACAGAGCTCTTGTTGTCCCTCCCTTCTCCTTCAGTAGCTGGGGAGCTTAGTGCAAAACTACCACACACAATTGATGTTCATGAAATGCTTTTAGGAACTGTCATAGCAGCAGCAAAAAGCACACCAAGTTCTTAGTTCTAATTAGACATTAGCTTGAATAAAATGCTGTAGGGAAGAAGAAAAATGAAAAAGCCTTATTCTGTGCATTCACTGAAGGCACGTATCTTATGTCCTGCTCTGAGTTGCCCAGTCTCTGGGGTAGATCAGCTGGTTTGGAGAGCTTCTCAGACATTTAAGAAGGCCCTCTGTCCATTTAAAGCCTAAATTATCCATTTTTAGCAGTCAGCACTTGGGTGTACAAGGAACACATGGCTCTGTAAACACTGCTAGTTTCCCACTTCTATTCAGGTGCAGTTCAAGGCTTGGATGTGAGGTATTTTATGATTTTGGCCTTGCCACAAGTATCTCAATGCTAGTCCCTGTGCTTTTACCCAAGAGCTGAGATAAGCTGGGATTCAGAAGCTAATGCCTTCTGGATAAGCCTAGCTAAAGGCTTAGGACAGGTTGCTCTCAGTAAAGGGCTCATGGCTACTGCTTTGCTTTGGTACAAAGATCCCAATGATCCCAAGCTTTTTTCAAGGGTTTTTTATAGATTTGAGATTTTTAGAAGGTGAATTTACTGGGAGGGGGTTGTTGAACAGAGAGTGCTTACACAGGCTTTTCTCTTAGACTTGGTAAATTAGGATTATCACTGGTCATGGTATTTCGTGTGTGATTATGACTGACCTGCTGTGTTAAATGGAAACAAATAGGACTTCTCACTCATTTGTCTTCTGAACACGCAGTTCAGAACATTCTAGCTGTCTGATCCAGGATGGGCTTCCTGCTTATCTTTTTGCAACATCTATAAAGCAATAGGTGAGCACAAATATGTCTTTATCTGAAAATATACAAACATGCCCAATAATCAGGAATAGAGAAGCTGGTACACATATAAAATCCAGTTAGAAAGTAACTCACGCAAATATGATTTTCAGTTTTGTCACCCATTTATCATTTGTAACAACTGACAGTGTTTCTGATGAGCTTTTATCATCTTCCTTACAGTGAATGAAGTATGTTATTATTGTAGTGTCTTCATTATACACTAGTAGTCTGTCTAGGGTACACAAAGAAAGGCTGTGCATATATATGAATGTGTACAAGGGCAGGGCTCTAAGGGATCTGTTGTTAATGCTCTGTAACAGGTCATCAGTGTTTCACTGCATTTGGTGTTACTTTCTGGTGGAAGACTTACACCTGAGGGAAGTGAAAGACATCTCAATGGCAGCTTCTCCAGCTGTGATTTCCCACCTAGGCTGCACATTGCCTGCTCTGTACAACCAGCAGTGTAGCACTTCATTGAGAACCATGTCACATGTGAAGAGAGGCTGCAGCTCCTTCTCATGTTTTGTATGAACAATTCCAGCTCAGCTTTAATCTTTATTAAGACTGTCAGGGATCCCTTGCACAAAAATGTCTTTCTGGTTTACACTGGTAATTTGCACTTAATTGCCATTGTGCTTGTAACTAAAATGCTGGCCATATTATTTCTATACTTTTTTTTTTTCCCAATCTGCTATAAACTAGTCACTGGTTTCCTGACACAGACAGCTCCCATAGGTATCAAACACCCTCTAAGTACTAGATTTTTGCACTGGCTCCCTTATTTGGCTGACAGACATGCAAAATCACACACTGGCAAACTGCTCCAAACCAGGTTGGCAGAGACTGAAAGCTGTTACTATCTGGAGTCTGTCCAGAGATAGATGGGAATTACAGTAAATTTGGAGTCTCAGTGAAGTTCCTGGCTGACCAGTATCTACATCACAAAGCCACCACTATACCCTTTGCTTGGCAGTAATTAGTACTTTGTTAACCATCTCCATAAGGAAACTGTTAGCAAAAAGCACAGGAAAGACCAGAGAGAGAATAATAGGGCAAACAGTTGACTATCCAGAGTAGCTATGTGCAAATTTAAGTAATATGTTGAATAAACAGGAAAACTCAAAGTCTTCATATGCACAAACCCATGACGTAATAGGTGCCGTGAAGTCCTGATGGAACATACCAGGGAACTGGAATGGGGAAGCAGTTACAGCCTTTTTCCAGCATAGCCAGGACAAGGCCTTTAGACATGTACACTTACTATCCACTTCAGAGAGAGATAAGAAGCTGGCTTCTTGACTGCTTTTGGGTGGAAATGAACAAAGAGAAGAACAATATGGATGTCTTGTTGGAGGTCTTTCAGAGAAAATTAAATTATGAGAAAGAAGAAATATGTGAGGCTCTTTGTTTGAGCAACTCACAGGTATGTTCAAGAGCCAGCCTCACCCCTACAAGGCGCTTCAAATAGCATAGTATCTACTGAAAAGCAGTAGATGAGGACACAGGTAGTTGTCAGGGTCATGGAATATACAGAGGGCAGGTTTCTTCTTAGGAGAGGGGGTGAGGAGGGAGGATATTTGGGAACATATCTAAACTGGATTTGATTAGGCTAATAATGAGGGGATTCTTGAGAAAGTGGAAGGTAGTCTTGGTGAAAGCAAGTATGAAATGACAGACCACTATTAAGGGTGAACTAGAAAAGTTTGCAAGCTGGGATGGGGTCCTCTTGAGAAGGTAATTGAAAGGATAAAAGAGTAGGGGATCACGGCCAGATACTGAAAAAAAAAAACATATTGAAGGTTCTACAATAAGGTGTTCAAATACAAAGGAAAGAGAAAGCACAATTACAGATTGATGTGATGCTCTAAGGCATTCTTTAGGCACCTGGAAATCAAAGCCTTATAGAAGTCCTGGAAAAACCAGGACACCTCTCTATGACTGCCTGTATAATATAGGAGGATAAAGCAAGACCTTTGGGCACACCAGGAGTTACAAGTAGCAGGAGGCAACCAGAAAATGTTACCAGAACATAAGATGACAAAGGAAGTATATAACAAAAGGAACAAATAACAGAGCGCAAAAGAGGCCAAAATATTAAAAACCTTTGTTGTTTCAGTCTTCAGTAAAGAAGTTAGTTGTGACCAATACTCAATAAAAATAGTTTAAACAAAATAATAGGAAGCAGGCCAGAGCAGAGAGAGAACAGTTAGAAATGTTTATCTAAATCAGTGATATTCAAGGCCTGACCACGTTCACCCAGAAGTACTGAAGGAACTAGTCACAGTAATGTCTGAGCCGTTAGCAGTTACCTGGGAGTACATACAGGGTGGACCTGAGGGACAAGTGGGGAATAAATATGATGTAATAAATACGTCTAATAACTGTCTGTTGAAAAGGAATAATGAGATATAGGACAGTCAGCCTACCTTTGACACCAAGAAAGACTCCAACAACTCAGTATACTTGCAAACATTTGGAGGATAAGGTGTCAAAAAGTAAAACCAAATCGCACCAAATCAAATTGATTTTCTTCTTTCCCCAGATAACTCTCATTCCTAGCATTCCATAGGCTGTATCTTTATTTTAGCATTATTTTACCCTTTGTGGCATTCTTATGAACAAGTTGAAGGCTAACTGAAAATGTTATCTGGTTAAGTGCAAGAAAAACTGGTATCTAAAAGGGTGTACACAAAAAATTGCAGACACTCAGTTATGATATACACAGTGGATCATTTAAATGGGATCTCATTGGAAGATCTTGTCTATCTGGTATCTGCTTGGTACAAGTGATAGGGGGGGTGGAAAGAGAACAAACCTGTAAAATCTGCAGTGAGGAATTGGGAGGGGAGAGCTTCCAGGTGCTTTGGAAATCAGGATGTGAATTCAAACTGCTTTTCACTCCAAATGAAACATATGAGGTGGAGTTCAGTAAAAACATATCTAAAGCATTAACACTTGGGAAGGGGAAATCAACTGAACATTTACACAATAGGAAACAATTGCATTATTTTCAGTAATACTGCAGGAAAAAAAAGAAAGAAACTCAAAGTTATGGTGGATTTCAAACTCAATGAATTAAGGTGATGCTGTTGCAAAAAATGCTAGTCATACTTTGGAAATATATTCAGAGCAAGACCATGTATAAGAAGTCGGAGTTAGGAAGTTATAGCAAAAGTCCTGTTTCTAGGTCCGGGCACACTTAAAAAAATATGCAAACTAGAGAGAATCCAGAAGGAATTGATAAATTTGGTAAGAATATATGAAGAAATGTAGCAGAGACTGCCTTCTTCTAGAGAGGAATGACAAGGGGCACGACAGCAAGCTGCCAGTACATAAGCTTGTCACAAAGGAGGGGGGCTGTTGTTTTGCAAGACAAAAAGAAAGGAGTTTCATTGGCAGCAAAGAGGATTCAGATCTGATAGTGAGGACAAAATTCTAGCTCCAGAGCCACTTGAGCAAACTCCTTAGAAAAGGCTGTGGAGTCCTTCCTCCCTCCCTGGAAAAGGACTGTATTTTGAACATACAGCAGTAAAACATCTACAATAAAACAATGCAGCATAAAACAAATTTTCTTTCAGAACCAGGCATCCCAGCCTCCTTTCCCCTGACAAATTGGAGATTACTGGTAGCCTGCTTCACATGTTTACACAGCACTATAATTATCATTACCTACAGACTCATTGGGTTCTGATTTGTCCTCCACTGAATGATTGGTATCCTAGTAACAATTTCTTTGATTTTTTTTTTCTATCAGATATTTTTATCTTTGCATCATTTGTCAAACTGCACACAGCAGCAAAAGCTGAGGGTCTTTCATGCTGTGTAAAGTCTATGTCCTATCATGACAGATAGCCTTTGTGATGCTCATCAGAAGCTCTTGGATCATACAACTTGCTATGCCAGTTCAGAGCAGTCATTTCATCCAGTTTTCCTTCTCTGCAGTGGCTGTTGCCTTCACAGTATGCTCTTAATGAACAAAGAAATCAGAGAACAAGAAAGATTGCTTCAAATCAATTTTGCTCCCTCCCCAAATCAGTTTTGCTCCCTCTCCCTGTACTCAATACAGTTTGGCCAGACCAAACAACATGAGTCTTAATTAGAAAATTATCACTAGGCAAAGGACATGATGATTTCTTCCCAAACATACAACCACCATGATCTAGCAAAAGCCGCTATTTCCAAGGTCCATGACTTCCTAAAGCCACCTTTCTCTTCAGGAAAGAGAAGCCCTAACCCTGAAGTGTCCCTATATCCCCCTTGTATCCTACTTTGTAGCAGTTTTTATGTTACGAATTTGCTTCTGGAGCTTTGTCTTGAGAGGCTGTGACCAGGGCTGTCACATGTCCTTCTTTGATAGAGGCCAGTGATTATACCAGCCTCCATTATAATTTCATTGCAGTGACTGATACCTTCTCTATTAATAGTCTGCGTGGGAGTTAAGGTCAGTTGGAATCTCTCCCTGACTGAAGGGGAAGGAGGCTACATGAGTGCAGGAATTGCTGGAATGAGAGGTGATGGACAAGACCTAATAGACGAGACAGGGTGCAAGATGAGTTGAAATGCTCAAGCTCTTAGTTTTGCTGTGTTTTCCAGCTCCTACATTCTCTTTTGAGCGATTGTTGTTTTTTTTTTCTCCCCCCAGAACACCCTGCCACCTCCAATTTTTGAGTCATAACATTACTGCATGGCTAAGGAGATCAAACAGGGAGGTCTGCGGGCTGGACATTGAGCACAAGCATCTTTGAAAAGGAGTGGAACAAGTTGTTTTGTCATTGACAGCTGACTATGGACCCTTGCCCTCACCTGCAGTTTCTCCTTGTCTTCATGTTCTTTTATTATTTCCTAGAGAAGAGCTTATTGCTTCAGCACCAGATCTGCTTCCCTGTTACTTTGCCCAGGCATGAGTAGACAAATTCAGGATCTTCACTGACTGCCACGAATGAAGAGACTAGTACAAACAGTCATCTTT